CAGGAATTGGCCGAGAGCATCAAGCTCGGTGCATAGCCTTTAACAGACAACTTTGAATAACTTGATGTTAGCTAAATTGCTGATCAAATGTTAACTGCTGCAATGAGCTCTGATCATACACAGTTCCAGTTACATAGGCTGGAAAGACAAACTTTATGCACCTAATGGAAAAAAAAGATTCGTTCCGAGTGTAGCTGGTTCATTAACATGGTGAAGTTTGACACGTGGTCTTTTAAAAGATATTCTAAAAAAAAAAGAAAGTACTATTCCAAATAGTACTGCAGTAAAAGTACATAAATAGGAAAAAAAGAAAGGAAAATAAATCCCAAGCAGCAGCAGCAATACGAGTGAAAACAGTTGCTCATCACCAACCAACACCAGCCACTCCCTGAGCACCGTGCCCCCAACCTCCTCCTCTGCCAGTTTTATTGATGAGGGTGATGCCATATGGTCTGGGACATCCCTTGGATCAGTTGGGGTCAGCTGTCCTGTGTGTGTCCCCTCCCAGCTCCTTGTGCATCTCTACCTAATCTTGGGGGCGGGGGGGTGGTGTGAGGAGTAGAGGACACCTTGGGACTGTATAAGTACTGCTGAAGATTAGCTAAATCATCAGGGTGTTGTCAACACCATTTTCAGTACAAATCCAGGACATCGCCCTGTACGAGGTGCTGTGAAGAAAACTCTCAGCCAAAACCAGCACACAGCTTTTTGTCTGAATTTGGTTTTGCATAGTGTGTAGGTGAACATTAACATCCCAGTTAGGCTGTATTCATTGTAGTTGAGGTTCTCAAGTATCATGAAAGCAAATGAGTTCTTTTGGTAGAAATTTGTCCTTTATGTTGCAGTATAAAATAGGGCAATATGAGCTCAGGCTCTGATGTGTCAGGGCCAGCACTGGATTTGCAGCAAACTTTGGCATGGGTGTGAGACCATTCTGCAGCAGCTAGCTTTGTGTTTGGTAATGGAATTACTGTTTAACTTCAAATAACTGCCCAATATTTACATCAAACAGACACGGCACTCAGCTGGAGGGCACTTCTGCAGACATCTAGAACCACCAGCTTCTGTGTATACCCCAGGCTGCTTATTGAAAAGACTCTGGTTGATTCTGCACGTCAGCTTGCCCCTGGTCTACATGGGAAGAACAACCTAGGCAGGCACTGTTGGGTGTGAATTGCTAACTGACGTAAGGCAGTCCGTGCAGCCTACCTTCAGCACTTTTTTTTCCTAGAAATTACTTGGAAACAGGATGGGTGAATTTTTTAGCCATCAGCAGTGTCTTCCTGTGGGCCACCTTTGCAACTGGTCTTGATGAGTAAGGACTGTGCCGAGAGAGGGGCCCCCTGGAAACTAATGACCAGAGCAGGCTGGTGTCTGAAGAGTTCATCCACCTCGTGTCTGGCTTGCAGATTGCTTCTGAGAAAGTAACACTACTAAACATTTTGAATTGATGCTTATAGGGGTGGGGTGGGGGAGTGGAAATGCCTCCAGAAGGAATAAGATGCATGGTTTAATTCCAGAATTAAAGTTAATGTGTTTGTGGTGGTCTTTAGAGTAGAAAGCTGTAATTTCTTTACGTGTCTTTTAAATTGCTTAGAGCTAGTCTGTCGAGCTTGCAGGTAAATGTTTGCAGCACAAATCTCATTGATTTTAATGCTTTCTCTAGGGTGATCTTCATAGAAACTACTAAAGACTTCAAAAGATTCACGTTAGGCAAAATAAGCTGTTCCAAAAAAGTAAAATGGATCCTTGTTCAGTCGGAGTTCAGCTTCAAACTACCAATGAATGCCATAAGACCTATTACACTCGTCACACTGGTTTCAAGACTAAGCAAGATCTATCTTCATCTGATCTACTGTTACTTCAGCTTAGGACTGGAATAACCCTTTCAGACAACAATACAATCTGCTTCCATCATGCAAAAATTTACATTGAAAGATTTGAAGACTTGCAGAAGTCATGTTGCGATCCCTTCAACATACACAGAAAACTATCAAAGAAAAACTTGCGAGCAATTGACTTGGATGATGCAACTTTTCTAAGTGCCAAGTTTGGAAGGCAGTTTGTACCTGGTTGGAAGCTTTGTCCCAAATGCATGCAGATAATAAACGGAAGCGTGGATGTTGAATCTGAAGATCGCCAAAGAAGAAAACTTGATTCAGATGTACGTATACGGATCGGTTTACCCATTCCCTCTTAAGTTCTGCAAGCTGTTGGGACTTGGCTTCATACAAGCCCTAGCTAAAGAAATAAAGTTTTTTAATAGAAATTTGAAAGGGTGTATAGCCTGCTCGTTGCGTGGGAGTTCACTGTACTCCAACTTTTACTTGGAGTACCTTAAAAATTCCACTTCCCTAATTAACTACTATGACCTCTTAAATGCGAACGATATTGTCTACTAGGGTGGCTTACAACTAATAAGTTGATGTAAATACCAGACTGTTGCTGGTATTCTAAGCTGTTACTCACGCCTTGCAAGTAACAAGCTCATGTGCTTAAAACCGAACACTGCAAAGGTTTCCTCTAAAGGATTTGAGATAAACTTTGGGTTTAGTCACTTCAGTTTGAAAACAGAAATATCCACGATCTCAGGCAGTTCATTACCAAGTGGCCCTGCATGAAGGTGAATTAAGCATGCTAGTTGTGGTGTCTGACCTGTGAAGGCCACAGTGTTTGTTCAGGGGCAGTAATGGACTGTGAGAATAATGCTTTAAGTGCAGAGTTTGGAACACAGCTTGTACATTGTTGAATGCGGTGTTCCAGATGTTTGCAGGCAATCAATGGAAGTGTGGGGGACCAAATCAGCAAGAGCTCATCCAGATATGTTCTGTAGCAAAGCAGAATTGCATTCCAAGAGCTGTTGTCCCTTTCAGCCCAGGGGCTGTTGCCCAGCTGTATTTTTCAATTGCATGTCAGTGGGATGAGACTGATGGGGTGAAATTTGAAAGCATCGATTAAAACTGCTGCTGTAAAGCTTGTATTGTTGTGTTTTGAGACTGGAAGAATTTTAAGACTTAAGTTGTTTCTCCAGGGAAATCCAGTGCTTAGAGCTGAGGTCAACAATTTACCCAAGTTATTACAATATCTGAACATTTTCTTTCAAATTTAGGTTTGTATTTGTAATCAAATGAAATGTTCTGTCTTTGTTCAGGGGCGTACAGCTAAGGCTTTAAAGTCTCTACAGTTTGCTAATCCAGGCCGACAGACTGAATTCACTCCTGAGACCAGCAAGAGGGAAAAAAGAAGGCTGCAAACAAAAAATGCGGCATTTAATTCGGACAGGTGAGCTGTTTCCTATACTTACACCATCTTTAACTTTCACTTCAGAATCAAATAGACTTGATGATTAGTGTTCCTCTAGCACTGTAACATTCTCTATGTAGATGTTTGCACCTTTACAGATAGCTTTTTTGGTTTTGAGGATGTTAAAGCTCACTCTCATTACTGAGATGAACAAAATGGAAGATCAGGTATTACGATACGGTCCATATTTCAGGCAATTAGAATACAAACAAGTATTTGGTAAGGTGTGACAGTACTACACAGATCACAGATGAAGTGATCAGTTTATACATAAACTAAATTTCTGATAATAGGCTGAATTTGAATACAGTAAGATCAAATAGACTACATGTAAAATATTGGAGTTGTCATCTTCCGATAAAACCATTAGTTACACTTTGTGAACGAAAGGGTGCAAGGTAGGACCGTATCTTCCTTAAAAAAACCCCAAAAGTTAGCGTTGAACAGCACTAGGTAATAAATAGCAACCTTTTAATGTGACTGATTATCATGCTTTCCACAAGGGAAAGGTGTATGCAACTGAATATTGCCTGGCATTTTCTACTACAAAGCTTGGACCAGTTCAGTCTTGTCCTGATAGGAGAGTGATGGAAATCCCAGTTTAACTAGTCATACAGTATTTATTAAAACATGCAAGAAAGATCACATTCATGCCTTTCCCCTGCTCTCTAACCTTACAAGACAGAAGCAGGCACTAGATGTGCTACTTACAAACTACACATCCTTTCCCACCTCCATTTGTTTTCTCCACTCAGTTTGGACAGAATTTGCAACCAGGGACATTTTGTTGGGATGTTAAGAAAACTTTCTCTATCTATGTGGTAAAATGCTGCATCACAAGTGTTGTGGCCTCTCTGACATTAGAGCTATTCAGAACTCAACTAGATGCAGCCCTAAGTAGCTTAATTTGAGTTGACCTGGCTTTGAAAAGAGGGTCAGACAAGATGACTTCCAGAGGTCTCTTCCAAACAGAGTTTTTCTGAGATTCTGGAGTTAAGCAGAACTGTTAGAGAGATGGGTAATGACAAAACGTAAAAATACTTTAAAATTAGGATATGTGCGCCCTAAATGACCTACTTGACCTCCTTTGAATTACAGCTACACATTACAAAAGAAAAGTAAATTAAGGGAGTATTTCACAACATGCAGGTATAATCTGAAGTTTACATCATGTAAATAAGAATATTCATAAGTGCCTGAGTAAGTTTGCTATTGAAGAAATAAAGCCTTCCCATTCTTGAAATTATTTCCAAAGCACTGTAGTGGAGATACAGTGAGGACTGAGAAATATTGTCAAATACAGTAACATACATCTTTTAAATTAACAGTGTTCAAACGAACACCTGAAGAAAGCAAACTTCCGTCCACAACTGCTGGCAGCTTGGCATGAAAATAGGTGGAAATAACCATTGTTTTTCATTACACAGGCAAGTTATACCGGCCAAGAGTAAAGTGTACGACAGCCAGGGACTGCTGCTGTACAGTGGGATGGACCTCTGTGATTGCTTGGATGAGGATTGCCTTGGATGTTTCTATGCTTGCCCAAAGTGTGGCTCCAACAAGTGTGGAGCTGAATGTCGCTGTGACCGCAAGTGGCTGTATGAGCAAATCGAGATAGAAGGAGGAGAAATAATCAGAAATAAGCATGCTGGTTAGAGTGCATGCACATTATTTATCCTGAGAATATATTCCATGCTTTGATTAAACATAGCACGTTTGTCAGTGGTTTAATGAAAGCCATTGGAATTTGTCACAATACACGTGATTAATATGCTCGCTTCTATTTTGATTATGGAGATATGATTATGGAGGTAATTGTACTACTGTCTTTTTACACTTCATTCTACCTTGTACTCAGTCTCATTAGTCATCCAAGTAACCTCTGATTGAACAGTCTTTCACTGTATTTAGGTATAAGGGGCTAAATTTTCATGTGATACATCCTGAGACACTTGTTTCATACACTGTTTTGTAGAATGTACCATCTCTCATGTATCCCTCATTTTTCATTCTCTAGTTCAGGATCTCATGGTCTTGAACCTATTTTATGTGAAACACTCTTAACAGTTCTCAATCAATTTACATGAGGTATTATTAAAAGCCTCTCCAGTATTAATAGTGAATGCTTCAATAGAGTTTCTACAATTCTATCCCAGCTACAGGCGATAAATTCAATCCCGTTCACTTAAGTGGATTCAAAGGCATTTAGGCATTCAGATCCCATCCAAATTACAGGGGTTTGAGATAAAGTTATCCTTATAATTCAAGCCTCATTGTTGAAGTGTTTAAATTAACATATTTTCAATGCCTTGACAGTTTGAAGTATTTAACTCTGGTACTGATTTGTTAGTTTCTAAGACAATTGAAATAATTTTGCTGTATTTGTTATCAGTCTGTATTTAGACTGGACTGACTGATACTTCAATAGCCCTCTTACTTTTAAGGTAAAGGTTTACATGCAGCTGAAATGCATCTGAGTGTCTGTTCCCAAACTAAGAATACCCAGACTGCTACAAAAAACCCCAAACATTTCAATTTAAATTATGTTTGGTTGATGCATTATCTGTCATCTGCAGAACATGAAAATCTTACTGTATAACATCATTTAAGGAAAACATTTTCTAATTGAAATCTAAGTAACATTAAGTAGTATTCTTTGGTATTTTTGTTGTGTTTTGGATAAATTCCTTACTTCTGTGATAGACTTGGAAGATATGCGTGTTTATTAGGTCACATTTATTCAAGAATACTGTTAACCATTGATTTCTGAAGACTTAGTAAGTACCCCAGTGGGTAAAGCTGTATAATCTTGCTGTTTGTTTAGAGTGGTGGTGGTTCTGATAAGTCCTGAAGGTTTTCTCACTAAAATCTAAAGTAATGCTCTGAGTTACGCTGACATCTACTGGTCCTAGTGCAGCATAAGCATCAATTTATAATAAATTCTTATTAAATCTGCTACAAAACTGAACAGACTTTCTTGGGGGGGGGAGGTGTGTGTCCCTCTCATTGGCCTTGGATTCCAGCCACATTCCTCACAAGAGCCATCTTGAGTTTATTCGGGAAGAGCAGCATACTCTTTACACTTCCCCGGATAGCAACCCCACAACTGAGTAATAGGGCTTCCCTTACGTGCAAGTGGCATTTAATACATTTTACTTTGTTAACTGCAGAGCGTGCTTATCCTGACACAGCAGTTAATCTCACGTGCTCCATACATGTTTGGAGCTGTTTCACCTCTTAAGCAACCTTTAGAATTAAACCAAAATAGAAATAGATACCTCCATGAAAGTGAGGGGAAAAAGCTGGTCCAGTCTTGTAATTCTTACGTATTTATTGTTTTTTAAATAGACCAGTCAGCAGTACCTATTGTTAATCAGGCTTCCAACTGTTTGATGAATGTAATTTACTTAAGTCCACAGACTTAAAAGCACTGTGTGAAGTATTTAAATGTTAAAGCATTTCACTGAAATGAAACGCAAGTCTACCAGTAGCTTACACTGCCTCAAGCATCCATCCCATTATAAGAACTGTATTTCTCCATCTCCATTAAGTCTCTGAAAAGTTAGTATATTCAGTCCCTCATTTTACAGATTCACTAGCAGTGAGTACTTTCCCAAATCAGTCACTCATTGCTTACTAACCAAATGCATAGCATTGCTGTTTGACTAAAAACCTGGCTAAGTACTGGGTACTGGTGATCACTATAGAAGCTAGAGGAGGAGACTTAGGGTTTTCTCCAGTGAAACAGGACCCTTTGGTGTTGGTTGTTCAGTTGTCCTTCTTACATATTTAGGGTATATACATTCACCTGGTCTCCTTACCATGCCTAGGCTGTGGTGTGTTTTTATATACTTCCATGTCTTCACCTGGTTTTATGTTCAGAGACAATTGCTGCAACAATTTTATAGAATCATAGAATCATAGAATGGTTTGGGTTGGAAAGGACCTGAAGATCATCTAGTTCCAACCCCCCTGCCATGAGCAGGGACACCTCACGCTAAACCATGTCACCCAAGGCTCTGTCCAACCTGGCCTTGAACACCGTGAGGGTTGGAGCATTCACAACTTCATTGGGCAACCCATTCCAGTGCCTCACCACCCTCACTGACATAAAAAAAGACATACTCCTACTAGATTTAAAAAGCTTACAGCTATGACTTCCTTTTTTTTCCCCCTGTATGTTTTTGTAACCACCACACAAACATGTCTCATCAGCATTTATCAACAAGCTATTTTATCATCATCTAAAAGGGATTGCATACTGTTCCAAATAGCACCTGTAGTTGCCCATCTTTCAGAACTGCTCTACAACTAAGCCTGTTACACAGTATGTTCTCCCAGTATAGCCAAAGGAAACAACTACTTCCCAAGAAAGCCAAAGTTCATAAACCAGGTGTAATAATCACTTCAAAATCTGCATTCATTAAAGAGAAAGACCAACAGTTACCGTGTTAAAACTTGCCCTTCGATAGTAATTGCAAAAATTAATGCCTAGACAAAGTTTACGTATTTAAAAGACAGAAATCAATGTCAATAGAAGAATCTAGTTTATGAATAATACATACCCCATGGAGCACTTTGAGCTTATTGAACAGAAGATCCAGGGTTTTTAACTCTTAAGTGCACGGTTGGGTACTGTGTTGGTTTGTCTCCATCACAAAGAAAAATTCACACCAAGCTGAGGACGTGGTCAAATTTAGCATCTGAAGTCAGTTGTTCTGTGGGCCTGGTGAGAGACCACACACCACCTTGTGGTAATGTCTGAGGCAGAATGGGCCCTTTCCTACCCCCCATAAGTGGAGCTGAGTTTCAAACTGATGACACATGCCCTGTTAAATAGTTAGTGTGCTTACTCCAATAATGATATAGTACAGGCAGGTAAGTCAGAAAAGGTGTTAAATTAACATTTCCAGCATCCATGCTGCTAAAAGGCATTTGGGTGATAGATACATTTTAACTTTATCCTCAGACACAGCATGAATTGGGTTTTTTCTCATAACTCTTAGAAACTAACGTAAGGAGACGCTAAGTTTTGAATCTCTTGGCTGACCACTCAAGAAATGAGCAGGAAGTGGACAGACCTACACAAAAGGCATGATTTTATGTTCTACAAGTCAGAACTAAAGCCTGTAAGGTGCCTTTTAGACCTGTTTTAATGTTCTTTTTAGCCTCTTTGTATAGGTGTTACAGATGTTAGCCAGAATGGATGAACAGACATCGGCACAAGGGCTCACACTGAAATCCCATAGTGACAGAGCTACACAGAGAGTAAGCGTTCAGGTGGACATCTGCCACTCGTTATGTGACAGGGCTACAGCTTGCTCGAATGAGCACTGAAGCCTTCAAGTTCTCCTAGTTTCATGAAAAAGCATAGTTTTCCTCTAAAACGAGCCACTTTTTTGGGGTCATATTTGTGTCTCAGTGGAAAACGGGGTGTGCAGACATGCTGTAGCTTGCCCCTTATGAGTCAGATAATTTTCCCCGCTAATTCTTTCACAAACATTCTTATCAAGTTTTATTTGCCTTTAAACTGTCTTTGAACCAGTCAATATCATACTACTAACAACTGTATTTAAAGAGGCTAAACAGTTCTCTCCAACTTCAAGTTAAACATGCTTTCAAAACCTGCTAATAGCAGAGGCCCAGCTTATCGAAAGGATTGTATTTGTATTTAAAGGTCTTTAGTTTCATCTAATATTTACCAGTGAGAAAGCCACAGCCAGAACTATTATATTCATTCACTGCAATTAGATTGCAAATTAACAGCTCTCCTCCAAGCGCGTATTAAAGAATATGGTAGGGAGGTGCGAATGGTTGCAGTTAAACTGCCCGGTCGCTCGTTCACCTGCTCTGAAGTTGGGGTTTACGTTTTAACACCCAGCAGAGGGCATCAGCTTCCTGCAAAGCTGACCATGAACTCCTGGCGCACCGCTTGGTTGCAGCATCCGCACCCTCTGGGCAGAGGGGGATTCATTATCCGGCAGGTTCAGGACAAGAGAGACATTACCCACATCCGTGAGGTTGAAATGCAGCAGAGTCAGGTGCAAGATTAACACTTAAAATGAGAGAAATAGATTTGTTTCTCACCCAGCCCCTCAAAGACCTTGCTGATTGTTAGTTCTTTAATTAGAGAGCTACACTATTCTTACAGATACACTTACAGTGTTCACCATGAAACCTTGGTTTAGAGCTTCTACCCGCACGCTTCCTTAGAAATTTGGTATTAGGTAGCCAAGAAACCCACTCACAGCAGGGTTTTGCACTCAAGAGCAGAACAGGAAACCTTCTGACATCCACACTGGTGCTACAGCTGAGTAACCCCCTCCTGTTCCCAGACAATCAGGTGAAATACTCATTATTTTACCTGACTAAGCTACAGCAGTAACCAGGAGAAGCCTAGCATAAGTTGTGGTAGGCCATGATGGAGAAGGACAAGAGGGGCAGCCAGGGATGGGAAAAGGTTCCCTGGATCCCTTACTGTTACAGTACTAAGTGGTGAAAAAGCTGCCCTAATTCTCCCCTTTTCCCCCCAGCTTCCTTTGGCACATGTACTCACCAGCAAATTGCACCTCTAGAGCACACTAAATGACTTACCCACCCTTCTAGGTTCTAGTTAGGGCAACATTAACAACCAGAGTGCAATAAACTCAGCTCTC